TTATATATACCCCGCAGGATGAAATATAAGGCCATAAAGAGTCTACTGGGTTAAATATACATATAATGTGACACTTATTGTAACAGGAGTACTTCACCCCCATAACCCATTCTCCCACAAAAAAGCTGTCTCTGTCTACTCTTTATTCTTAGCTCAGTTAGCTGGCTGGAGAGCAATTGTTCCATTAAAGCTAATTTATATATATTATAAATTTAAGTTAATGGGAAATGCTCTCCACAAATTTAGTCTAATTTATATGACAATCGATTTGAATATTTTGCGTGCGGTACAAAGGTCGCAGACCAACAGCTATCATTTGTACTAAAACATCAAAGGTCATCATTGTATTGGCAAAGCGTACACGTGCACATCCCATCTTTCAGCCAATCCAAATAAATCTTTGATGGCATCAAAACATGTAACCAATCATAATTCGGTTAAGCAAGAAAAATAGATCAAATACACCTGAAAGAGATCACTTGTTTCAAAGTCTTAACAAAGTAATGTTCCAAAGCTACTGTAACACTTTGCCACCCACCCACCACTTGTCAAAGGGATTACAGAAAACACCTATGGTGAACACTATCATGGAAGAACATTATTATTGGAGATCACTATTACTGGAGATCACTATTACTGGAGATCACTACTATGCTTATGGGAGAACACCATCACTGGAGTACACTGTCACGGTGCATGATGCATTATATCATATTATCCCCGAGCCGACGGCGCGAAGCGCCGTGCGAGGGTACTAATTCCCCCCGGCTATTTACACCCGGGGAAACGAAAGCATTAGCGAAGTCTAAAGTTCATCAAATATCGCGGGCGTGGGTCACTGTGCGTGTTTCGGTGGGTGGTCATCCTCACTGATCTCATAATATAACGGACTGTAATAAATAGCCAACACTGATTGGTCCAATTTAAAATTGGGATTATAACGGCTGCATGACGATTGACGATTGACGACAGCGAAATTGATTTAATAATTTCTTGCAAATATATTTCATTTGTGCAAGATTTTGTAAATTGCAAAGGATTTTTGATGAAATAAAGGCAAGAGGATTGCTAAAAGAAGGAAGTAAAGGTGCCGACGTTAACGAAGGTAAGTTTGTTTTAAATATTGATGCATTGTTCGCTTTTAATATACTGTAATCTCGGCTGTAATTACTTTAAAAGCCGATCGTTGCGTATATATAAAATATGAAACAAGACAGCGTATTATTTCAGTGTTTCTTTATTGATTACACTTTTTATTATACTAAGCAAAGTTATTTACATGGGAGAATTTGGAATAATTTTGTTTCGAACTCAAAGTTTATTGATAAAGGCAGTTTAGTTTTATATTAAAAGAACACTTTCAAACGTTTTGCGAAGCGTTTGTGGTTGAATTTTACCTAAATTGAAGCTTATAATATTACGTATAATAACATACCTACTGTAATTACTTTAAAAGCCGATCGTTGTGCATAAATATGAAACAAGACAGCGTATTATTTCAGTGTTTCTTTATTGATTACACTTTTTATTATACTAAGCAAAGTTATCTGCATGGGAGAATTTGGAATCATTTTATTTCGAACTCAAAGTTTATCGATAAAGGCAGTTTGTTCTATAGTAAAAGAACATTTTAAAACGTTTTGCGAAGCGTTTGTGGTTGAATTTTACCTTAAATTCAAGCTTATATTACGTATAATAACATACCTGACATATATATGTTTAGGAAATTGATAATTTTGTAATTAAAAGTGATATTTATAGGGGATTTTTCATTTGTAAAAATATTCTTAAAAAATTATCGTGTTACCATGACAACAACTTAAAGGCACAGTTCAGCCTGTTGAGCGATGGTTTTTAAGGCACATTTCAGCCCTGTTAATTGAAAAAACTAACTAGGAAAATCAATTAAGCATAATTCAAAATCAGTAAACTCGATGTTTTTAACAATATGAATGTTTTAAAATGTTAAAAACATTAAGATTGGTGATTTTGAATTATGCTTAATTGATTTTCCTAGTTAGTTTTTTCAATTAACAGGGCTGAAATGCGCCTTAAAAACCATCGTTCAACAGGCTGAACTGTGCCTTTAAAATACTTCACGTTCGGAAAATAAAATAGTTTTGTCTGCAAGGCGAGGGTTTCTGCATGCATGTATTTTCTAGTATATGTATTGATCAAACACAGTAGGGCATTAATAATTGTTGTTATTATTTGTAAGTTATTGCAATACAACATTTAATGGTTTGGGGTTGAAGTGCTCCCAAAGGTCACCTTCATGCCCATAGACTCATTCAATGTAAATATAATCGGCCGAGTTATAGGAACTGTCCAAGGGACCCTTACCCCTTGGTTCAGGTCAATAAGGTCAGAGGGGGTCGCGACCCTTCTGGCATGTGCTCTGGGGACCCTTACCCCCAGGGCAGTCCTAGGGTCCATTACCCCAAGAGTTATCAGAGCGGGCCTTATATATACCCCGCAGGATGAAATATAAGGCCATAAAGAGTCTATTGGGTTAAATATACATATAATGTCACATTTATTGTAACAGGAGTACTTCACCCCCATAACCCAATCTCCCACCGAAAAAAAGGGTCTCTGTCTACTCTTAATTCTTAGCTCAGTTAGCTGCATGGCTGGAGAGCAATTGTTCCATTAATCCGTTGCATCCCAACGAAACTTTTTAATATTGCTAATTTTGTGATGCTCTTTCAGCTGTGATAAAAATTGTTGACTTGTTGAGTTCAACATTTTGATTAATATGGGATTGGTCCATTAATTGACCATAAATTTGCATCTGCATATTTTTTCATGTCGAATACATCATTAGCAGTAATAGTATATCGTTTCTCGTCCAATTAGGTAAAAACAAACACTTGTATACGTGAGTCTCTGGAAGATTACAAATTGCACTACTCCTTCAGACTCTTTCAAAAAAACTCACTCATGTATGCTTTTCGAAATTGCACTCGTAGCGCTAGCCACAATAATATTACTTATACAAATTGGTCAAATAAACACGTTGTGTGTATTGTCTACACGAAGTCATGCACTCCCGCATTACACGGAAGTAATTCTATTAGCATATTGACTGCCCGCGGTTGGAAATGTTATGTCAATTATTATAATGGCTCGGTTTTGTTTAATTTATAGTATTTTCATCTGTTGCAAATTTATGCATACCGTATTATAATTATACAAAACATTAGTTTGGCTATGAAGTGAATACACGAAGAATTTGAGGAGTAGCTACATGCAGAACCCTGATCCTGTTAGAATTTGTCTGACTAATGTGGTATTCTTTTCTATTTCTAAGGATACATTTTGCAGTGATGTTGTGAAACAATGCTCTGATGTATAATCATACAAATCAAACAGAGACGAATACATGGACAGAGAGTGATCGGATGAAATGGATTGCATTTCAGGATCAGGTTGTATTAGCGGATAAAATCACATTAATTATTTTCGCTATTTGTACAATTGTGGGCAACAGTTTGGTTTTGGTTGCAACCTGGAGAGAAAGAAGTCTTCATCAACCAAATAAATATTTTGTTGCTTGCCTGGTTGTTGCTGATCTTTTGGTTGGTATGATTGTAGACCCAGTGAAGGTGTATCACCGATATCTGGATTTTGAATCGCTACGTACCATGTCTATTCATCTATGCCGTTTCATTGCGTGGATAGATACCTTTGCGTTCACAGCATCTATTTATACACTGACATTCATCAGTTTTGACAGATTTATGAAAATCAGGAAACCACTTCAATATAAATCCAGAATGACAACTTCCAAATCACTGAAAATTATCTTTATCATTTGGTTGATTTCAACTACCTTTGCCACCTACGCCGCCATTCCTGATTCAGGAAGCAACTATGGACCGGTCTGCAGCACCACCGATCTTGATAAAATGAAAGAATACCATACTTTTCAGGCAGTAAGTCTGCTTCTTCTACCCACCGCAGTCATACTGGTTATGTACGCTCTCATTTTTATTGTTGTTCATAAACGACAAATGATGCTGAGAAATGGCGAACTGGGTCAAACTTCCAATTATCGGAACCAACGAAGTGCCTTTCTTCAAGATCTGAGGATTATCCGAATGTTAGTGGTTGTCGTGGGAGTGTTTATACTTTGTTGGGGTCCTTTCGTTATTGGTATGTTGCTTTGGTTCTACTATCCAAATTCTTTCGATTTCGATAGCACGTCATTCAGCTACCGGCGTCGGATTCGCATAGCTATCTTAGTAATACACAGACTTCCATATTTCAACAGTCTGTGCAATCCAATAATTTATGCCTGTCTCGACCAAACATACAGAGAGGCTTTCAAAAATCTGTTTCAGCGAATGATGTGTCGACCAAGCTCAAGAAGACGACAACCACCTGAGGCAATAGAGTTACCTCCACTAAGAACAATATAAAGCAACATTTCATTAACAATTGCTTTTCTGAAACTTTCACCTCTGTTCATATTAAATAATTTTGTGTTTTTAATTTAAATCAAGGATCACACAAGAGGTTTTTTGATAATACTTTTATTTTAGCTACGTTTCGGATAGTTTACTATCCGTCCTCAGGCTAACAAATTGTTCTTACATTTGACGTGTACAATTTTTAAACGTTCATCTTACGCAAGCTAATTTAAATTAAACTGCGTGCGCGCACGCGCGCGCTCGTTTTCCTTAATAAAGTATTTGTTTAATATTGTTCTCCAAGTCATCAATGATTCAAAACTGTTTAAAACTTTCTTTTTGTTATGCCTTACCCTAAGAGACTCAATTCCTTCTATAACTTTCCGCTGTCTTAATCTATACTCATTTCTCAATATTCGCGTGTTCTCCCAGTCTATTTCTTCCGTACACTCTATACTGTGCCTTGCTAAACCTCCGTCTTCTTTCCCCATTCGTTCTTCTGCCACCGCTATTCGTCCATTTCTCATATCCTCGTTTGTTAATCTTACTTTGCTCTCGTGTTCTTTCTTTCTCACCTTAAACAACCTTGACGTTTCTCCTACATACATCGCTTTCTTGCACTTGCATGGGATCTCGTAAACAATAGATTTTTGTTTTTCGCCAAGTGGTTGTTGAGCTCTCGCCTTCAATTCCTTTATTTTATTTCCTGGTTTAAATGTCGTCCGAAATGAATGTTTGGAAGCTAATTTTTTTAGTTGTTCCGATAAGCCCTGGATGTAAGGTACAATTATCATTCCTCTATACTCTTGCTCTTCCGACTCATTTCTTTCGCGTTTATCCTCTCGCATGTATTCTCGAACCCTCTGTCTTTCGAAACCATTTGCCACAAACACATCTTCTACGTTCTTCAGTTCTCCCTCTAGGTGTTTCGATCTTATGTGCTGCGCTACCTAGAGGGAGAACTGAAGAACGTAGAAGATGTGTTTGTGGCAAATGGTTTCGAAAGACAGAGGGTTCGAGAATACATGCGAGAGGATAAACGCGAAAGGAATGAGTCGGAAGAGCAAGAGTATAGAGGAATGATAATTGTACCTTACATCCAGGGCTTATCGGAACAACTAAAAAAATTAGCTTCCAAACATTCATTTCGGACGACATTTAAACCAGGAAATAAAATAAAGGAATTGAAGGCGAGAGCTCAACAACCACTTGGCGAAAAACAAAAATCTATTGTTTACGAGATCCCATGCAAGTGCAAGAAAGCGGTGTATGTAGGAGAAACGTCGAGGTTGTTTAAGGTGAGAAAGAAAGAACACGAGAGCAAAGTAAGATTAACAAACGAGGATATGAGAAATGGACGAATAGCGGTGGCAGAAGAACGAATGGGGAAAGAAGACGGAGGTTTAGCAAGGCACAGTATAGAGTGTACGGAAGAAATAGACTGGGAGAACACGCGAATATTGAGAAATGAGTATAGATTAAGACAGCGGAAAGTTATAGAAGGAATTGAGTCTCTTAGGGTAAGGCATAACAAAAAGAAAGTTTTAAACAGTTTTGAATCATTGATGACCTGGAGACCAATATTAAACAAATACTTTATTAAGGAAAACGAGCGCGCGCGCGCGTGGGCGCACGCAATTTAATTTAAATTAGCTTGCGTAAGATGAACGTTTAAAAGTTGTACACGTCAAATGTAAGAACAATTTGTTAGCCTGAGGACGGATAGTAAACTATCCGAAACGTAGCTAAAATAAAAGTATTATCAAAAAACCTCTTGTGTGATCCTTGATTTAAATTAAAAACACAAAATTATTTCATTAACATTTTATAAAAACTTTAAGTTTCATTTCATAAATACTTATGTCCTTACTCTAAAGGAGAAATGTGTTTATAAAAGGTTGCGCTCGTGGTGTAACAAACTTAAAAGATGAGATCAAGTCTGTTCTGCGCATGCGCAATATGAGGACCTAGCTTTGGTGTAAACAATACTCAAATTTCGCGTTGTTTCGACACCTTCTAAATTCTAATCTAAATTCATTTAAAAGCATACCAAACCAGAACGATGTCAAATATTAACTAAGTGCATTGTATTTTATCAATATATAGTGTTTTCAAAAATTAAACAAACTGCGCATCCGCTGAACAGAATTGACCGCCTCTTTAAGAATCAAAACTGACTTATACAAATTTAGAATTTTGTTCTCAGTGCTAAATTGCGGTAGGTCTGTTGCTAAATACAATTTTCAAGTTGTATGCCCAGAAAATGTAGTCTTTCGAGCGCATGGTTCCATGAAGCCTTCCTTGATTCTAAAATGTGTACCATCATACATGGGGCACGCACACTGCTTTACCTCAAACCACAACCCGAATCCTCATGAACCGAGCAGGCGATTGCCCTCCTTGCCCTAACCGGTGGAGCGCTGGACCGGTAACAATGCCCCTCTTGCGCGAGCTACTTCCCCCTAAGGGCCATCACCGTTATGGGGTAAAATCCTGTGGTGCAACAGTTAATTAGATGGAACCTCAATATGAACAGCTGATATACATCATAGGACATAAGAATCCATCTTGACTTTCGACAAACAGCTTTGAATATTAAGGCTTGAACACAAAGGTGCACAAAGTGAGTTATAGTTAAAGCACAGCTTATTGCCAGTCAGTGGTAGCGCTTTGCAACTAATCCTATTTGTCTAGGCACATTCGCTTTCACTCACATAGACCAAAGTCAGTCCTCACGAACGGCTATTGTGCATGGCATTGCAAATAATCCAGGCTGATCTGTATTACACTTTAAAAATTCCACGTCTTCAGCTGTTTTGTGTAAGCCTGCAGAGTGGAAGCCTCCGTGGGTAACATGTTTAAAAGCAATAGTTTATAACAACTCATATGTTTCGCTCTAAAATATACGCGTTCGCCTTGCCCGATGATAATGAAAATGTAAAAATGCGATGATTCTGCAAGTAATCCAGGGCGATGTGCATGTATTGAACTATGCATAAAGGATATGAGGAACTTTGTCCTATGCTGCTGCAGAGTAGAAACCCCTGCATGTGGGTAACATTTTTAACACTTTAACAGTTCATAAGCTATGAAATGCAGAGCTTATCTCGAATGAAGTTCACAAAAGATCACGGGCCAATGAAATGCTCCAAACAAACGATGGCATGGGATGATCTTAAACATGACGTATGGGGCTTTCTAATGTGTCAGCCATATATGTTGGAATTAAAACGAGGCTAATGAGTAATAATGCACGAACAACAAAATAGCGAACGCGATAAAAAAGTCCAGTATACGTTCACGCATCTTCGCCATTTTGCATTCTTCGTTGCGTTATTTGCCTCGGTTTTCATTCCATCATGGCTGACGTACGCGTGGGAAAAGCCTATTGTTGTTTTGTATATAAAATAAATTGTTAATGCCTGCATATAGATTTATAATAACACGTCAGAATAGTTTGCATGTTTACGTTTTGAAATGCCATCAGAAAAGTGATGGGAGTGACTGGTCAGGTTTTATCTATCATGAATTTTCGGTCGTTTGTTTGTGCAAGAAATTTTTGCGGAACCTTAAAGGATTTTTTCTCTTCTTTCTGCTTTGTTCAACAGAGAACTGAGGTGGATAAAGCTTCAGCCGGTCTAACGAAAATTTATTCATTGTAAGGATTTTGGAAAACTGTTTGACCAAATCTTTTATTTACGTAGTCTTCGCCGATGTATTCGCTTTTCAGTTGAAACACTGGTACATACTTTTGTTAAAGAAACACAAGTCACTTTGTGACTGTGTTTTCAGTATCTATTTTAGTATAACTTCTACTTTTGCGTGTCCATAGTTCTGTATATTATATACGTCTTAGATATACGTAAATTGATTATCCCCTTATCCCTGAGGTGCATACAACCATAAGCATATTATATTAAGACACTTAATTAGTATCTTCTTGTAATTCTTATGAAGTGTCAATTAATCAACACAAACTGTATGCATAGGTATAGGTAATAGCATGGTTTCGAGTGCAATTTGGATATAACATGCACGAGTGAGTTTTTCAAAGATCTCAAATATAGCACGAGTCCGAAGGACGAGTGCTATTTGAGGTCTTTGAAAAACTCACGATCGAGTGCATGTTTTTCCAAATTTCACGAGAAACCATGCTATTACTTATTAATAATTTACATAAAAATGTTCGAGACAATCGTAGTTTTAACTTACGCGTTTATAGCGTACATTCCACTGCCAAAGTTTTCCTGGCTTTGTTTTATCACATTATACAACGCTAACAGCTTGAAAATTCCACTCAACTATGTAATTTTTGTTAGTCTTGTTTAAGATAAATGCTTTTCCATTTGAAAATAAATATAAAAGCCGTATTTTCCACGCGAAGGCAACTTTTACTTTGTGTAGCGCGGCGCCATGTTTGTTTTGTTTTGAAGCAATCTGTGACCGTTACTTCTTTAAACTAAATTGCTTTAACTGATTGGTTGATTTAAGCATCACAATGTTTTTCCACCAATCAGATTAGTTTGTTACAGATTTTTGCACTGTGATTACAGAAAATTGCACTGTGATTACAGAAAATTGCACTGTGATTACAGAAAATTGCACTGCTGTTTGGGATTAACTGCACTGAAATCAACCAATCACAGTCGAGTAATATCTTTATGTATATTATTATCTCGGTTATTAGGCAACCGGTAATTCGCCCGTGGTAATCCGCCCCGAGGTTAAAAATAATCAAGTATATATATAATCAAATGGAAACTATTGAAAATAATAATGTATATATACAATAATAATGTATAATAATAATGTATATTATATTACAATATATATTATAATTATATATAATAATAATGTATATATACAATAATAATAATTGAAAATAATAATGTATATATATACAATCAAATGGAAACTATTGAAACGAGCTAAGCCTTATAACTGTGCTTCAAATAGATGTAATTTGTGTTTATGGGAGAAATACTTTATTATTTGTAAGCCCAAAATGCCCCACTTTAAACAAACGTAATGAGTTAGTATCAGCATGTAGGCATAATAAAAAATTCCTTTTAAGTAACATTTAAAAGCCAGACATTTAAATATACCGCGGTGTGTTAATCTTTCCGCGTCCTGTCAGCTTATCATATAACATGTTTATTAAATCGCGTGCTTTGTAAATAGGATTAAGTTTCATGTTTCATGTTTTAGTCTATAGTCATTAGGTCAATTTATCTGAAGAGTGCCACATACTGTGGTACGAAACTATTTAGTAATAAAGATGCCTAGTGGATTTTGTTGATTTGTTGTACCTTAATTTAAATATGCTCTGGTTTTCCATGCATTGAGCACTTTGCCAAAAGTTTTTATAACCAACAAAACCAAATTTTATATATATATATATATATATATATATATATATATATATATATATATATATATATATATATATATATATATATATATATATATATATATATATATATATATATATATATATATATGTTAGTTGTGTAATTGTACACTCTGTACAAGGTACACTCTGTACCAAGACTGGAAATTATGAAATATATACTGAATGTCATAAACATACTCGTTTATATTAATTCAGCATCGAACAATTATACTAGTTATAAACGAGTATGTTTATGACATTCAGTATATATTTCATAATTTCCAGTCTTAAATCCGTCTGACCGCGTAGCTCAGTAGGTAGAGTGTCGATCTAGTAATTTGAAGGTTGTGGGTTCGAGACCCAGCCGCAGCAGACATCTTTCTGCTTGCGCTGGGTATGGAAATTATATAATACACACTCTAGAACATTTTCATCTTAATGTATACAATGAACTAGTTCATTGCATAGACTTATGCGCGCCTCGTGCTTAGCAAGTGTTGCTGCTTTGTCGAATGTCAAACAAAGACATAAAAATATGAAATCTATTATGCTCGTTATTAAATTAACTAGAGCACTTTTAGTGCAATGATCTAATTGTTTACTTAAACACCTGTAACCTTATTGTTGGTGGCATAATTACCCTTCGTTTCTACCTGTTGCACTATGAATTGCCTAGAGTATATATAACTGGCAGACAACCCTGGTCTTACAATGCTTCTCCTAGGTTTGAAATAGTGTGCGAAGATGGGAAGAAATAGAAGAGGTCGTGGCCGTAGAGGAACGAACCGTACACACGACTATGTAATTTTAATATCAATAATGAATAAAATTCTTTACGTTTACAGTGTGGTTTCCTTCCTTTTAAGTGTCCATCCAGGGTCACAAGGCCTGGACACTACGTTTGATCACTATGCATGATCACGTAGTGAGCTCACGAGTGGAAGGAAATAAAGCAAGCAAGACCTTGAGAAAAAAACTCAACAAAAAATATCGAAATCATATATATATATATATATATATATATATATATATATATATATATATATATATATATATATATATATATATATGTATATATATGTATATATGTATATATCTGTATATATGTATATATCTGTATATATATATATACATATATACATATACATATACATATATACATATACATATACATATATACATATATACATACATATATACATATATACATATATACATATATACATATATACATATATACATATATACATATATACATACATATACATATACATATACATATACATATACATATATATATATATATATATATATATATACAACCATCATATGGTTGCATAGCAATGGCAAGTGTTCAGCTGTAAGACCATTATGTAGGTTCGGGTGTCCCCAATGTACCCTGAAAATTTTGTAGCGATCAAATGAAATGTCTAGAAGTTATGACCAAAAGAGTTAAAAAATCAGCTTTATAAATTATTATAAATTCGTGATATTTGCTGTGTTGGTGTAGTGTACTCAGGTGAATAAGATGCTTTGATGTTACTCTGAGTGTGTATCCACACCGAGCAGGCTTGAAAAATAAGCCTGGCCACGGTGGGATTCGAACCTATGACCTTTGGAAAACTAGCCCAATGCTCTGCCAACTGAGCTACGCAGTCAGGTCGGTTCGATTATGCGATATTTTGGAACTGAATAAATTCATTTGTAATACATTGTCTAATATGTCTGTTTTCCAAAATATAGGCCAAAATTCCGATGTTCAAATTGCCATAACTTTTGATTCTCTTCACTGAATTTGATTAAATAAGCACCAAAACGTTTCAAATTGTGAGCTCTACTGGAGGGAGCTATTTTGGGGGGCCCCCTGTCAATTTGAAATTTTGTCTGTTGTTCCTATGATGACCCACCCCCAGATTTTGGCTGGAAATAACATGACACAAAATACAAAATAATGGACACTCTGAAAACGGTTAACATTTTGATTCGACGTTTTGACTAGCTTGCAGTCATCATCATTTTCCTGATGATGACTGCAAGCTAGTCGAAACATCGAATCAAAATGTTAACCATTTTCGGAGTGTCCATTGTTTTGTATTTTTAAAAATTACTCAGTGGTAACCGTAAATAACATGACCCACTCCAAACTTGAGGTCTTTGCTAATAAAATTTTTCATTCAAATGTTGCTTTTTATAATACAAATATAAAATACATATAAAATTCCTACATTCTCAAAATGTTAAATACATGCATGCAGTAACCCCATAGAAATATAACACCTAAAATGCATGTGTCCAAATTGAAAACAAAAATGCGCTCATAAATTGGCCTTGTTGGATTTGTCTGAGGAGCGGCCTATAGCGAAAGGTTGTGGGGGCGAGTTTAATTTACCCTTATAAATAGGCCATTTTGAATACTTAATGTGTGTCACTTGTTTAACTGAGAAAGGATAGGAGCACACATTATAGGTCTCGTATTTCTGAGTAAATTAACCCTCGCCTTGTTGACAAAACTATTACATTTCCTAAACAATAAGTATTATAAAATCGAAAAATCCCCCAAAAATATCACATTTATTTGCAACATTAACAATTTCACAAACATATATGTTAGGTATATTATTTTACATTATTATAGATAATGTAAGCTTCAAATTAATGTAAAATTCCACCACGAATGCTTTGCAAAACATTTTAAAATGTTCTTAAAACTGAACTGCCTTTTATCAACAAACTTTGAGTTGAAATAATATAATTTCAAATTTTTCTAATTTTGAAAGTTCCTTTTTAGCAGTATGTCAAACCCGGTTGTGCCATAAAGCTATTGACCCTATTGTTAATGTCATAAATTTTGCAATGCCAATAATTATCACTAAAATTATTGGTGAGTGAAGAAGAATCGCTATAAACACTTTATCGTTGGCCCAGTGTACTGTTTCTTGTGTATATTAAATAATGACCTGACCCAGAACGTATATGTTTTCTTTCTGTCGCGAATTGTCTATTATTGCTCCTTTTAGTTAAAACCGATATCGGTTTTATCTTTTACAATAATTCAACACAGACTAAGTACAACATGTGGATAACTTCTCACGCTATATCAGTGGTGTGCTGGCCGGGGGGCCACGGCCCCCCAGCTGGCAATTCTTGGGGGGGCACAAAAATGAAAAGGGGGCGCCAATCCCGCGCCGAATTTTGAAAGTGGGTGGGAAAAAACGCATTTGAAAAAATATAGTTACTTCCACCAAGAAAAAATATGTCTATAGGCTTATAAACAGACTGAGCGCATACGCGACAAAGTGATATATTAAATTACAGACTATTTTGTCTAACCAGCCAGTATTGCTACCTCACACAAAATCGTTCATATAGAAACATGATCAGTGATCACACGCAATGTCGCATTACCGGAATATTGGTCAGGTTTCGAAGCGATCACGGGAATTATGCCCTTTTTTGCTGGTATTATGCCCTTATATTATGCCTTTATTATGCTTCACGAGTCACGAGAGCGGCGCAAATTAGACAGTTATGATAATGTAAAGTTGTGTATGCAATTTAGTTGTTTGCACAAGAAACATCATGACTCATTGAGTAATGTAAGTAGTAAGATAATGCTGAAACGTGCGCCCTTTTGGCGCAAGGAAACCTTAAAATGCATGGTGTACCACTGACATTGACTCGCACCGATGTGCAGATGAACTGCTCAACTTTGCAGAATCTTTTCAAAAATTGAAGTGTTAAGTGATTTTTTATGAAGACAAAGAAGAAGAGAAAATTCTGATTTAGACTCCGGTTCTGAAACTGAAACCGAAGACCACAAAGAAGAAACCGACAGCGAGTCAAGCAACGACGGATGAAGAACCAAAGGACAAGGATAAACCATCATTTCTAGAAGCTCTGAGAATTTTGTTGAATCCTGATTACCACCTAGTTGATGCATTTCCAACTCTTTGAAAAGTTTACGCGATTGCAGTTGCAATTCCAATCAAACCCGCACATGTTCGTCTATGTCTCAAGAAAAACTTGAAGCATTGCTACTTATGACCACTGAACGGAAGATTTTAATGTCTTTGGAAAAGGAGCAGATTATTACCGCCTTGGAGGTCTGACATCAGAATTGTCGAAGGCGCTTATATGAAAATGTTTAGAAATGCTAGAAATCGACAATCATTATTGAAACATTAAAGACATTGGAGAACATCGATCGATCGATATGGGCAATATTTGACGTTATCAACATTCGATACAACATGTGATATATAGTACTAACTATCAAGTGATATACTGTATAGTATTAACTCTTTTTGTATGTTTTGACCAAAAATGACAGATTCGTATCAATAAAGTGCAAGCACAATTTTTAGTAAAACATTACAAGTTATTGGTGAGATCGTAATATAAATCAAAATATTTTATACAAATATACTCAACGAGTGACTTTATTCCTCCATAATTAATCTAAAATAAAGATTTATAGTAAAACTGATACCGTACTAATTTAAGTACTACTACAAAATTCTAACCAAATTGCAAATTTCGACACGTTATAATCTCACTTCCTGACCATCAGATTTCTTTCAAATCTTCCCCCAAAGTCCAGGAAATGGCATTTCGGAGACTCTACATTTAAAAATTTTCGGGGGGCATGCCCCCGGACCCCCCTAGGAACACCTCGCACCTGCGGCGCTCGGCTCGTGCCTTCAGTCCTTGTTTATCAAGCGTCACATTATAGGGGCGCATATTGGTTGATAGCTCACTGCCCCCCCCCAGAAAAATAGTACCCAGTACGCCACTGCTCTATATATATACAACTATGTTAATTGTACTAAAATAACTTGGTCAATGCTTTGGTATAAGGTCACAAAAGACATGACTTGTGCAGTCATACAGAGTTATAATTTAAGCATGTAATATGAAGGCATTATAGAGCCAGCACATACAATAAAACAAACATGTAAATATTTTGAATCATGCAGATTGACATAAAACCTATATACTATACCAATTGCAATGGGCAATGACAGAATCAATGCAAATTTGATTTTTGAGACGTTCTCTGGTTGAAATTTTTTTATTCATGAGCTTTCGACTGCCAGACTGTAATCATGTATTTTATAACTACCCGTTGAAGGCTGCAGTCTGGCAGCCGAAACTTTGTGAATAAAAAATTGTCAACCAAAGAATGTCTCAAAAATCATTATGTTCAATCCTGGTCGCACTTCCAGCATATTCAATGCAAATTTGTCAAACATCTGTAAGAATTGAAACATGTATACCAAAATGATATAATTTAGAACATTTATTTACACAAAACTATGTGGATGTTAAAATATAAATAAACACGTACTGTTAGACTCATATTTTCAATTTATGTAAAGGTGAGAGTTCATAGTTGATAAGCTTTTTTAGCGAATACAATAAAATGTATCCATTTTATTTTGACAAATACATCTAAGGCCATGGGAATGAAAGTCATAGATTTGCGTCCACCGCCCGCATGCCTCAAAAGCTACCGCCTAAAATTTTCATTATTTACAAAAAAATTCATTATTTTCACAAATAAAGCAAAACTCAATAAAATTAGCAATAAAATTGTGTATTGATTACAATAAAATGAACATATTGCAGTGTGTTTGTCCTCAGTATCCACATTCTATGAAATTCCAAATTATATTCACTGAAATTGGCACACAGGTCTTCAGTACTGCAACTGCGTGAGCTCGAGATATATGTAATTCTGTGGCGTAAACGGTAATTCGTGTTTTGATCTCTGTATTTACCACCCAAAAGGATGGTAAAAAATAATGAATAATGAATAATGAAAAAACCCCGCATGTTTTTTCAAAATTATCCGGATGCAAATCTATGACTTTCATTCCCATGGCCTAATCTGTGCTATATTAATATATAGGAAGGACGGTTTTTAAAAATCACAATGTATCAATATTATTAATATCACTGCAATCAGTGATCACATATATTTAGGAAGAAACAGACAACAACAAGAGTCACTGGTCTAAATACCGTGAACAAATCACTGGTCTAAATACCGTGAACCATATCATATGTAACGTTTTTTCGTAGTGTAATTGGTTTTATTTCAAATATAGAACTTCAAAAATTGCCAAATGTGATCATTAACTAAATTGACAAGTTCTATTATTTTTAGAAATGTCTGTAGTTAATAACTCTGTTGTTAGGGTGGGTATGTAGGGCAAATTACACTATATCCCAAAATCTGGGATGTCACATGACCATACCCGAACAGGGTCTCGCCTGGTGTTTGGGGGCATGGTGGAGGTGAGACCCTGTGAAACAGGTTGCTTTGCTCACTCTTTTAGAAAACTTTCGCTTTTTCAAAATTTTGCAAAAATGAAATATATTCGCAAGAAATGTTTGCAAATTCGCTGTCATCATGTATATTTTAAATTTGACCAATCAGTGTTTGCTCGACGATTATTAATGAACTTTAGACCTCGCTAATACTTTCCTTTCCACAGGTGTAAATTGCAGCACAGAATGAGTACCATTCCCCACCCAGTTTGTGCTCTGCTCCCTCCCCCAAACGGTCCCAAAAAAAATCCCATATGTCATTCTGATTGGTTTGTTATTCCAATAGAGTGAAAATTTACCATATTTGGGCAACAGATTATAATATGAAGTGTGAAAGAGGTAGCATCATAGCAACCTACAGTATGAGCCATTACTAAAACTTACTATCGCAAGGGATTTATACTGATTCATTCAAATAGTCAATAGTATACATGTCTGAAGATAGTATACTCAACTATTTTTGTAGATTAGTTTGTCTCTTCAACATCTACCAGTACAAGCAAAAAGCCAAAGGGAGTGATGGCAGTATAAACTGCTTTGTTCATGCAGTCTCTCCAGTGAAAAGGGCTAACTCGTCTGATAAAAAAATTTTAATTGCACACTTAATTCAATTGGCAAACAACCACTCTTGTGGAGCAGTCTGCTTTTCATCTGACAAACAATCTGAAAAGAAAATGCTTGAAAAAGTCCAGTAAAGATCCAAAATTAAAAAAACAAACCATGGTATAGATTGTAAATATGAAGTGATCCTTCAGACCCTTACAAAAAAAGTCTATAGGCCTGGCCTATAGGCCAACCTATAGGTTCCTATAGGAAACCTATAGGTTTTTATAGGCAATTGGAACATTTTCTATAGGTGACCTATAGGGATGCCTATACGCCTATAGAGCTCTATAGATGCCTAAAGGCTTCTATAGGGAATTGGAACATTTCCTATAGGCACCTATAGGCCACCTATAGACTTTTTTCGTAAGGGGAGATTCACAAAATTCATGCCACTTGTGATGTTGACTTTTCCAAATATCTCAGCTTTAGAAAAACTTGCTTTGGAGCAACTTGTGTCCATAAAGGCACATGTTGTTGAAGTTTGCAGTGTCAAGCAAATATAACACAAAACAAGATTTCTTAAAAAGCAAGAAGTGTTTGTCACTGATCACCATGTCAGATTTGTGGCTATCCAGTACGAAGAAGTGAGAAAGGATTAAACTGTACCCCATGTCGAGATTGGATTCATGCTCAATGTATGGCGTTGCCTGATAAGGAGCTCAACAAACTCACTAATTGTGATTTGTCAGAGTGGAGCTGTGATAAATGTAAACTGAGAACTTCGACGAATAACGAAGAAGACTCAGTTTGTGAAGACATGTATGATAATTTCAGAGCAACACTTAAAGGTAAGGGGGTAAAGATAGCTCATATAAACTGCCGTGGAGTAAGATCTAAGCTAACAGAAATTATCTTACTGTTGAAAAATGCTCTATTGACATTCTCGGTATTACGGAAACACATCTGAACGAGAAAATAACAGATGATGAAATATATATAGAAGGCTATCGACTCTTCAGGCAAGACAGACAACACAAAGAGGGTGGAGGCTGTTTGGTTCATTATAAAGAGAATTTAAATGTCATTCCAAAACCAGAAATTATGGTCAATAACATAGAGGCCTTATGGCCGGAAATCACAATAAGTTCGCAGCGGCTATTGATAGGGAATGTCTATCGACCACCAGATAACAATGAATTTTATAATGAGTTCAATAGAATCTTAGAACAATTGTGGCTTAAGCGTAACAACATGCTAATCATGGGTGACTTTAACTCTGATCTTTTGAAAACAAACAAAGACAAAAGTCAGCACGGAAGAAAAATACAGCGCATTATTAAAACCTATGGCTTAACAAGTGTCATCACAGAACCAACTAGAGTCGCCAATTCATCAGCGACGTTATTGGACTTAATTCTGGTGAGCAATAAATCTAAAATAATAAAAGCAGGGACATTAGATCCGGCTATATCAGATCACAAAATGATTTATGCTATTGTGAATTTAATTAAGAAAAGAGAACACCCAATAATCAAAACAGTGAAGAACTACAAACATGTAGATAAAAGAAAATTCAAATCAGCATTACAAAACGTCCCATGGTGGGTATGTGATATATTCGACGATTTAGATGATGTGCAAAATGCCTGGGAACTGTTATATAAAGACGTGGTAGATGAGTATATCACAAAGTGAAAGGTCAAAGTGAGACAAAATTCATTGCCGTGGGTTAATACGGAAATCAGGAAGCTTTTGAATAAGAGGTTTAAACTTTTGAAGAACTGGGAGCAAACAAAAAATCCAATAGCACATAAGAAATCTAAGGAAGCGAGAAATTTAGCAAATATTCGGATGAGAAAAGCGGAAGCCGAGTATTGGAAAAGTGAATTTGATAATGAATTCTGGAAGGTAGTGAAGAAAGTGCACAGGAAAACGAAAGCAATAAAAATTGGACCACTTGAAGATGACCTAGGAAATGTACAAATAAACGAAAAGGAAAAGGCTGAATTGATGAATAATTACTTTGCAACAGTTGGCGAAAAGATGGCAGAAGCATTCCCTGTGCAAATAGAATCGGAATAGTTTATATTGAGAATAACTCCAAGTATTGATGAGCTGAAAATTGACGATAAGTTATTAGTGAACCAAATTAAAACAATCAATCCTGATAAAGCATCCGGACCAGATGACATCAAACCAAAAGATTTTAACATTGCTGGAGAGGCATTAATAGACGGCTTGCGTATTGTCTTTAACAAGAGTAGAGAAACGAGGAAAGTACCCCCAAGCATGGAAAAAGGGAAAATTAAAAGAAAGGAAATACAACAAAGCGATCAAATTACAGATCCTTGACCATGCTAAGTCTTCCCAGTAAAATGCTTGAAAAACATGTTTAACAACAGATAGATGAACATATAAATCAACATAATTTATCGAATGACAAGCAGTGGGGTTATAAAAGAGGAAGATCGGCCGAGTTGTTATTGTTAAATCTAACAGAACATTGGAAGATGGCACTTGATAGTGCAAAAACAGTTGGCATTTTATTTGTAGACTTTAAAAAAGCATTTGACAGTGTCAACCTTACCATTTTAATGTGCAAGATACAAGGAAAGGGTATAGCAGGAGAAGTATACGAATGGTTAAAAGATTACTTGACTGATAGGCAACAATTCACAGATCTAAATGGCGTTTACTCAAGCTCACAAACTGTAAAATATGGAGTACCACAAGGATCGCTATTAGGACCGCGACTATTCAAGATATACGTTGATGATCTTCCTGATAATGTAAGTGAAGGATGGGTGTATATGTTTGCCGACAATACTATTGGACATGACATTGGAGATAATATTGATGTAGTGACAGATAAATTAAATCAAATGGCTGGGGAAATATACGAATGGTGTAGGAAAAATAAGATAACTGCACATATAGGCAAAACAGAAGCAATAATACTGTCACAACAGCCCTTTTATGGTCCAGTAAAACCGATATGCTTTGGAGATGAACAGATAAAACTTGTAACAACAACACATGTAATACATTGACATTGACATTGACAAGTTGGACACCCCCCCCCCAATTGTCTAGACATAACATGTCATCACGTTTTATATTTGATAAATATATTCATTGTAAGTTCAACGTTAATGGCGTAACACTGTTTATTACATGGTGTCAAGAGAAACTACAATCATGGAACATATGAAGCCTATGGGTCCGTTAAAAATGGACGGAAATGTGGCAGAAAACTGGAGGAAATGGAGACAACGCTGGAATCTTTACGCGAAAGCCAGTGGAGCCAACGAAAAAGACGAAGAGATTCAGTGTGCAATTTTCCTTCATACAATCGGAGAAGAAGCATTGGAAATCTATGATACTTTCACCTTTACTGAAACTGAACAAGATAAGATCGAGCCGCTCATTCAGAAATTTGAGAGCTACTGTACACCAAGGAAAAACACGACATACGAGCGATATATATTTAATACGTGTGTACAAAACGGAAGAAAACTCGATGCATTTATACTTGACCTTCGCAACAAAGCAAAGACCTGTGAATTTGAATCACTACAGGACAGCTTAATTAAAGATAGAATCGTTTGCGGAATCGACAGCAACAGCATCAGAGAGCGTTTGCTCCGAGACAACGACCTCACGTTAGAAAAGGCGATTAGCATCGTTAGAGCCACAGAAACAAGCAAGACCCAAGTACAAAAGTTAAATAATCCTTCGCTCGAAGTAGAATCAATTCACAAGAATTTTGAAAGAACCTCTCGCAGTAAATACCAGAGGGAAGAAACGAAACCAAGTAGAAATGTCAGCAAAACACAGCCTTGTTCGCGATGTGGCTCAAATCATGCACCAAAACAATGCCCAGGGTTTGGACAAACATGTCGCAAGTGTCACGGAAATAATCATTTCGCCAAAATGTGCCGCTCGAAGAACCTCAACACTCAAATGTCAGAAACACGCGTACACGAAGTTCGAAAAGAAGAAACTACCGATAATTCTAGTACGGAGGAAGACGAATTGTTTATCGGAGAAATTACGACAACAACGGCCAAAAATGTATTAATTACTAACCTCAAGGTTAACGGCAAAAATGTAAATTTCAAAATAGACACTGGCGCTCAGTGCAATGTGCTACCCGAGGAAATTTTCGACGGAATTAAGCAGAAACCACAACTAATCGCTGCTGGGACAAAACTAACAGCATATGGAGGAGCACAGGTTCCCGTGAAAGGAAAATGCGTTTTAGAAATCGAGCAAACTGCAGACCGGAAAATGGAAGTCGAGTTCTTTGTTGTCAAGGCTCCCAATGCCAAAGCACTGATTGGGTTACAAACATGTCAGAATCTTGAATTAATTAGCATAAATCAAATCAGTGAAATCCAGGAAAAGAAAGCAGACATCATCGAGGACTACAAAGATGTATTCACTGGTTTGGGTCTCGTCGAAGGAGAATATCACATTGAGTTACAAGAAAATGCCAAAGCAACGATTCAACCACCGCGAAAAGTACCATCAAGTCTGATACCAAAACTGAAAGAAACACTTGATAATCTTACGAAATCAGGAGTTATCAGCAAATTGGATCGACCTACCGATTGGGTTAATAGTCTCGTAATCGTAGAAAAGAAAGAT